AGTGCTAATTTGACAACGAAGATTAGGCAAACTGTTTTTGATATTTATTTTTTCAAATGTACGCTTTTATTTCTTTCTCCGTATAAAGTTCAAAAATTACTGCGAAAACTGTCAAAGTAGTCAAAACGACCAATTCGTAATTTGATGAAACGTGTAGTACGGCGTATTTTTAGAGATTCGAATGGTTCTTCGTAAAATAAACATATAAATAAAAGCTCGCGAAATTTATGATACCGCGAAGCTCCTCCATCTCTCCACTTTATGTCTCTCCGATGGAAATTCTAAACTCTACTTTAGTCGTCGGTAGTTCCACCGACGTTAACTTTCGTTTCTCCTCTTACAGTCTCCCCATTTTGACGAAATGAAATTCATAAATTTCGCCAAACGCAAGCAACGTAAAGTAAGTAACAGCAACGTTACGTGAAAAATCGTCGTCTAACAAGAGTAGGTCCCTGCCCCTCCGGTCTCTCCCCGCAACCCCTTATCGCCTCGCCAGACGAGAGCCATGCCGACCTCACGGCGTAACCTCGTTTCACAATAACCCTCGTTCACCGATGCGTCAACATTCCAGGCTCCCAGGAACAATCCCACGAGAGCGAGTACCTCGGGAGCGACTCGCTGCTCGCTCGCCGGTCACGGGACAACGCCGCCGACGATTTTTCACCCTTGGTCGAAGATAAGCGGCCCGAATACACGGACAGGAGGGCTGATAACAGAGGGACGAAGGGTGCGCTGGAGTCGGCGCAGCGCGAGCTGTCGCCGCCGGCGGTGTTCGAGGACCAATTCGTGGCCGACGACACGTTCCAGGATCAAGGGCCAGGCTCCGTGGAAATATACAAATTGGACGTGTTCCGGGTGAACTCGCTGCTGAGCCCGTCGCCGAGCATCGTCACGGGATTCCCGTTGCCGAATAAGGGCAAGAATAAAGCGCCGAAGAAGACCAGCCACGCGAGCTGGAAAACGTCGAAAACGCCGGACTACGACAAAGCCACCAGCCTGCTGAACACGCTTCGCAAACAGTCGAACTCGTTCGACGATCTCAGCACCGAGGTGCCGGCGAACACGGACCTATTCGGCATCGGGGGGGTGCCGGAGTTGCAAGTCGGCTGCGAGGGATTGGAAGCTGCGGAGTCGGATCACGGGAGAGAGAGGAGATCGATAGACTCGGCTCTCACTGGCGGAGATAAGAATCCAAAGAGGGAGGTGGATTCCTCGTGGGTGGACGTGACTCCGATATCGTTGAACCTGGACTACGAGCTGTCTGGCGAGGACGGCTACGAGGAGGAGATGGACGAGCTGCTGAAGCTAAAGAAATTGGAGAGTACGACGAAGCGTAGCAGACAGAACAGAGGCGACATGGACGCGACTCTTCTTCATTCGGAGTTCCACCAAGGCACCAAGGGACGAGCCGAGAAATTGCCTGTTCGCGGTGACTTGGGCAAGTCTAGCGTGAGCAACGAGTCGTCGGCGTCGTCTATAGACTGGCAAAGTAATCGGCAGGTAGAAGAAAAGACGAGGCTGGCTAACGACAAGGCTTTGCGTTTTAACGAAGGGAAGCGAGACGATTATGCTGGCGCGGCTAGGTCCGATGATGGGACGTCGGCGGGTAATCAACGTCGCAAGATATTGTGGCTCGAGAAGCCTGAGAACGTTGTCGAGCAACGGCTCATAGGAAACGAGAAGGAGAACGGGGAACGTCGCGAACGCGATACTTGGGGTTTCGGCGAGGACGAGGGCGTGGTGTCTAGCGACGAGTTGCAAACGGAGAATCAGCGACGAAGACTGGCCAACGAGAGGCGGAATATGATCCGTCAGGAGGAATTAAGAAGAAGCGAGGAGCAACGTAGAAGAGCCGAGGAGATGTTGAGGCGGAATCAAATCGAGAATCGGACGAACAGCGACATCGAGAGAATTCGGCAGGAATACGAGAGAGGATTGAGTGAGAAGGAGAGAGAGGAGGAAGAAAGGAGGCGGCAGTTGCAGCAGTCGAACAGGTGGCAGCTGGACGAGGAGCATAGACGCCGCTTACAGGAGGAAATATCGAGGAGAAATCGATTGGAGGGGCAACGTCGGACGCAAGAATTCGAGGCTCTCAGAAGACGCGAGACTGTGATACAGAGGCCTGCGTCCGAGGAGGAAAGAAAACGGCAGTGGCAACAGGCGATAGAAGCGAGAAGACGCGAGGAGGACCGTCTGCGGGAGGAGGATGAACGACGAAGGTTCCGGGAGGAAGAGGCGCGTCGTAAATGGGATGAAGAGCTAAGGCGAAGGCAGCAGGAGCAGGACAGAAGAAGCCTGGAAGATAGAAGAAGGGAGTGGATGCTGAAACGCAAACAGGAAGAGGAAGAAGAGAAAAGAAGACATCAACAAAGTAGAAACGAGCCCTCGAACTTGTTATATCCATCGCGAAGTAATAAATCGTACGATCGAGAAACGGAAAGACGATTGAGGGAACAACAGGAGAGAGAACGTCATCGAAAGTTGAACGAGTACATTCAACGTAACCAACCGATCAAGGTAAACAGTTCGATCGACCGGCAAAGGGAAGAAGCGAACGAGAGGAGGCAGGAAGAGGAACGACGTAGAAAGGAGGAGCAACAACAAAGAGTGGAAGTGGAGCGCAAGTTGCAGGACTACGTTCGAAGGAATCAACCGGTGCGCGTTCCGAAATTGAACGAATCGTACGACAGGAACTGGTTGGAGTACAGGAGGAGATTAGACGAAGCGAGGCAACGTAATCAGTCGCGATATACGGGCCCGGGAGACGGAAGAAGAAATCACGGGCCGTCAGCCCCGACGAATATCGATCCACGATATTACGTGGACGACGCGAGGAGAGAGGCAGCCAGAAGGATCGAGAAGGAGGAGGAGAGGATTCGCGAGCGACAGAGGCAGCTAGAGCAGCAAGAGCAGCTAAGGAGGTACGCTCTGAGGCGAGAAGAAGAGGCTCGAAGGATGCAATCGAGAAAATACGAGGAGGAACGAAAGAGGCAGGAGTCGGTGAGGTTAGAAGCGGAGAGGAGAGCGAAAGAGCTGCAGGAAGAGGAGGCCAGGAGGAACCAGGCTGGGAGGAGACCGTTGGAAAATACGAGACCAAGCTACGAGAATCGTAGACGATTCGACGACTACAGAAGGGGACAAGACACGAGTCTTATTCCAACCAATTTAGTTTTGAACGAGTCCAGGAGAGCCACGGAGAGACAAAGACAGGAGCAAGAGAGAAAGCGGCTCGAAGCTGAAAGGCAAAGGTAAGAGGATACCGGGTAATGAAATGAACGAAGGGAAAGGATAGTCAGAAATTTCGCGACTAGATATTAAATTATAATACAGCGTGCTGATAAATTGCATTAATTCAGCTGGCTTATTTATTAAGACTGCCGACCCTTGCCGACGAGCAGTATATTTTACAAAGTATAATTATTGTTTCGGTAATGAATTTGGCATACGATAATAGTATTTAATTTGAATATTTTTAGCTTCGACTTTTGTTCCTCACGATTATGAGGAATTACGCAAGAATTTTTAATTCCCTTCGAAAATTTTATTACAGACATGTACGTAGAATTTATATTACATGAAATTAAGGGTATAAAATTTCTTCTGAAATTTTCTAAAAGTTCAAATACAATCATTTGGTCATCGTTTCAAGATATTGTAAAATTCGCACACAGCGTGGAAAAGAGGATTCTAATTCGTGGTCTCTATAAACGTCACACTGTGAGTTAGCTAGCTACATGGAGAATATTTCGTGACGCAATAGATTCTCCTAGACGATAAATGCTGCAAACAGAACCCACACACGTCGGCCCTCTTGCTAATATTTATGATACCACGGCCACCCTATAACCTTAAACCTTGAGTTTCAGAATGTTTTCGCGGCAATATATCATTTCTTCTGCTGAAATTGTTCTTCCATCGTTTTCACTGCACAGCTTAACGATGTCTACCAAGTTTACGCTAACGACTTTCAACGCAACAATTATCCTTCACTACTTTTCTTCTCTAGACAATTAAACGAGTTTTTTAATTTTATACACCGCGAATTAGAAAATAGAATATACGAAACTATTTCCACTTCATCGATCATTCCATCACGATAACAGGCTAAACGTGACACGCAATGATATTTGCTATTTGCTCGAAACTTTAGCAAATAATCTCGCGTGCGCGAAACCTGGTTGTGCAGACCAGGATCGCTCTGGATACAATTGACTGGACAAAATATCAATCACGCGTGTATTTTTAAATCGTCCGATCATTAACAAGTTACGCACGTGTGTGTTCTGTCTTTCTCGTACGTAATGTGTATACAGAGATAAAAGATCTCTCAAGTAAAAATATCGAACGCACGCAAGAAGAAATTTGCAATTCGTACAACTCAGCTTTTATAGTTGACGGCTCTGAAACACCGTGTGTCTCGTTGCAATTTCGCGCAGTGGCGATGGCTTTCCATCTCCAATGGTAAAAACAGGCTCTGAAACTTTATTGGAAATCCAAAGAACATGTACCCTGACAACCCGAAGTCGCAACGACGTCGCACAGTTCTCTGGACGAGAGCGTCGGAACCTCCGAGGCATAAAATACCTTTCTTGCATTTGTATACAAAATTCAATTCGCAAGAACACAAAAGATCTCGGCTCAGTCTCTGAATACTTCCGGGACACTCTCGTTGGGAGAGAGAGAGAGAGAGAGAGAGAGACTTCTTTGCCAGAAGTAATGTTATTCCTTTGAGAGACACCTTCCAGCATGGGAACAAGGGGGACAATTTCGCGGCAGTTATTACGTCTCGCGTAAGATCTATCGCGTGTCATCGCGGCTCGCGGCAACATAAATACACCGCGAGGAGAAATTTCGTCGACGGGAAACCGTTTGCTCGTAGCTGGCTGGCTAGGTGAGTTAACGCGCCGCGGAGCCGAGGAACGTCGTTAATGAAACAAACAGGGTTGCTACTGGTCGCGGCGTGCACAATGAGCTTCCTCTTTCGGTGGTACGTATACTGATAGTATAACGTGTCCCCTTATCCTGCACGCAGAGCGAAAGAGACGAGGGAGAAGGAGGAGCGTGACAGGGTCATGAAAGAGCACCGGAGACGGCAGGAAGAGGCCAGGCTGAATGCGTTGCCCGTGAGCGCGAGCATAATAGTCCAACCGGCAGCACCAAACCTGTTATCGAGGATAAATATCCCGGTGAGCCTTCTTCCACTTCGTGCTCCACTTTCAGCCGCGCGATTGTTCCGCGCTTTCGATTCGATCCGCAACTTTCGCAGAATTGTTTCGCATTATCCTGTGTCCGTGTCGCGTGTGCACGTCAGCACGCGGTCGAGAAATATTTGTAATTTCTCACCTGGCAAAAAGACGAGGCAGAATTGTAGAATTGTGGCATTTGTTTCACACGTTTGAGGCTCGGTTTTTTTTTCAGAAAATTGATTGACGCTCGCGAGTTTGGTTGATTAACAGGGCGATCATTCCCTGTGCGGAAAAATTCCGAGTGAAAAATGTAGAATAGAATCTTTTCATTTGCAGCTTAGGTATATAAGTACAGAAGCTACGTACGAGTAAATATTTACTAAAAAAATGTAGAATAATAGTGATACACGAGGCACTGAAAAATTACATAAATCAACTCCAGAAATTGACATGTAAAAGAAAACGACGATTTATCCTCTATATTATTTCAACGAAAACGTTTAACAAAATAAAATCATGAGAATAACACGTTCGTTTCTTATTAATTATGTTCATACCGTTCGATATTGATCGACGTGATTAATGAAATTGAGAACCTACAAGATGGAGTCGATCAGTTTGGTTTCGTATATCAACTAGCAAAGAGCACGTTCAATTTATTCACGCGTATTTTTTCGCAAATGTCTAGTAGATATAATTATTGCCATAAAAGTTCAACGTAACTAGAGCTTCACTGGAGATTCCGCAATATTGGATATCGTTTTCCAGAAAATGAAATCGAAACGGTTATATTCTGTTCTATATAATGTATCTGCATACGTAAGTTACCGAAACGACGAGCGTCATTATCGTTGATATTGATTGGTAATTAGAGCTCGAGATCGTTAAACGCGGAATAATTACGCGTTGGATATGATATCCCCGTAAGTAAGTATAATATTCGCATTTCAAATTATTCTAACCGGAGTGAATGGAGGTGCATGAATCGCGTTTTAATTGAAAATCAATTATAAATTGTAGAATGTAACTTTAGAACCATTAGCAAAATTTGTGTATCAAACCCTCGTTAATCGTGCATCGTGATTGCATTTTTCTAATTTACAAACACATATATTTTAATATAAATTCTTCAGAGGTGAATAATCATGTATCAAATGATCAATGAGCAATCATGGCCAAAATATCACTTTCGTAATCCACAGTGCTATTCTACTTAAATCAAATTTTATCGGAATACGACACGATAATGCGAAACATTTCTCCTGTAAAAATAGTTAAAAAGTATACATCGTTACAACGTGAATTAAAAAAGTTAGAATGTAAGAATTCATATTTTTGTTCAACTAGCTAGTCACTGTCTATGGTAACATTATATATTTTTTTTGTTATTAATAATCGTTACGCAGAATGAAAATTTTCCTCAGTTACTTGATCATTGTGAATCCTAACTGACAATTGCACTACGGATTTTTATGTACACAACTAAAGAAATAAAACAAGTAAATACAGTATATTAGTATGTATATTAGTAATTGCAATGAAAATTTTATATAATTTTGCGTCATGTAGTTTATGTTATAATTACATTACTTTATTCAAATTCTCATTCTTATGAATACAAATAAATAGATAGAATCTAGACAATAATTCGTATAAATATGTAACACCGTGCTACATATATAGTGCTATATTTTACTTTCGATTCCTTTTTTTTTTTTTTTTTTTT